TGGACAAATCAAAATCCAAATGTTCAACCAGGAACTTTACTTATTCAATTACAAAATCAAATGCAATATATTTGTTCGGGAGGGTATAAGAAAAATTCGTTTTTTTTGTGCAATGTAAATAATCATGTTTTCCTTATTTAGAAAAAAATCGTTTCGTGTTGATTATCTTATTCAGAGTCTCTCTCCAAATATTAATGTGAATAATTTAATTCCACCACCAAATTCAGCATTTGATCAACTCTATGGAAGATATGTTAATGTAAGTTGAAGAATTTTTCGAGAAAGAAAAATATTATTTTGATATTAATCAATTTAGACAAGTCATTGTATACCTTATCAAGCATATTGGATATATTTAATTGAACCACGTCCATCAAATGATGCAATCCGTATTGCGCTAGAAAATGCATGGCGTCAATCAAATAGTAAAAGAATTGTTTTCTTTTTTTGAATTTATTTATTAATAATAATTTAGATAATTTATTAATTAATGTTTCACCACAATTCTATTCGGATTCAACATATTTAACTAATAATAAGTAAGAATAATTATTTTCTTTATTTTATATATGTATATGTATTTTGTCTAGTCAAACATTAACACGTTTAACATATACAATTAACCTAAATGGTTCAGATTTACCTTCATTAGCTGTTACACAACCATTAACAAATTCAATTTTATTATCAAATTTATATACAAATATTCCATATAAAAGATTTTCTATTTATATTGATGGAAACGCAATAAATTTAACAAGTTCAACAACATTGGCAATGTTGAATCAAGCATTACGAACAAGTTGGTCATTGGCTAATAGTAATCTTTTTTCAGCAACTGACGTTTTAATCCCATCAATTAATCCTCTTCTATTAACGTAAATATAATTTAAAAAATCTTTAAAAAAAAATCTTTTAATATATTTAGTACTGGACAAAGTAGAATTGATTATATGATTGGTTTACGTTCTGGTGATATTGGTGATTATTCACAACCATCAGAAAGACTTTATACACAAATATTTAATCAAACAGGTTTACAAACATTAGTTTATACACGTTATATACTAACAGGAAATAATCAAGCTATAATAAATAATGATCAAAGAGCTAATCTTCCATTTTATCAACGTTCGGGACCATTTTATGGCGTAAATAATTCATTTTATATGATTAATATTTGAATATTTTTGATTTTATTTAGCTTGATTGGTGGATTATTTTAATTCTTGTTGTTGGCATATTAACTATTTGGTTAATTATATGTTTAATTTGTTATATATGTTGTCGAAGACGGTAAGATTAATAATAAATTTTTTGCAACGCTTTTTATTAACGCTTCCGCTTATGCTTATATCTAAACAGATCAATAAATATTTCTCATCATCAAAACTATAAAACAACACTACCAACACCACCACCACCAACAACGATAGTAACAACAAGACAAATTGATATTCTTAGTCGAGAACAAAACTATCATCCAGTATCTTTATCTTCATTAACATTAGATGAACAACAAAGAATTTCTCCACCAGAATTACAAGTTCGACGATTATCACAACAAGATTGGATATATATTATTACTTATCCATTAGATATAATTTTGCCTTCTTCGCTTTATTCTACTTCTTTAATAGAATCAAATCATTATGAATTATAAAATTCAATTTTTATTTATTTTTCTATTATTAGCGAGGAACGTAATCCATCTGTAGTTGTACAAGATATTCATCATGTATCGAAAAATGAATCAGTTTATGCGACAGGTGCTGCACCGTATCCATCATCAAGACGTTCTATATCAGTAATTGATTTACAAGATCAACCATCAACAATAGAATTTCGTCGACCACATCGAACATCAAGATCAGTATCACCATCGAATACTTTTCGATATATTTTACCATTTAATTCTCATCGAGAAGAAAAACAAAGAAATCATGAACAAACATCACTGGGAAATAGACAAGATGTACCTATAACTGTAACAAAAAGTCCTATGTATAGTGATGAGTATCTTTAATTATTTTATGAAAAAAAAAGAACAGTATTTTGTTTGTTTTATATTGTTATTGAAAAAAAAACAAATCTTTTTTTTCTATTTGTAAAAGAGAAAATATATATATATATATAAATTTTAATGAATATTTTTCTTTTCTTTCTAATTTGATAAATTGGTTGGATTTGACGTATACATATTTACGAGTAACCATGTGACTTTTTGTCTTCTATAAAACAATAAATATGCTCTTCAAATCTAATAGTAAGTGAAACAGAACAATGTCTTAACTAAAATATCAAAATCTTATTACAAAAGATTAAATATATCCTTCAATTTTATTATGATACTTAGTCATTATAGTCAACTACTTCTTTGACATTAAAGTAAAATCTCTGCATCAATTGAAAAACTTTTCTCAATTACCTAAATATTTTCTCGTTAGACCTTTTCCTTTCTTTTTATAATTTCACAGTTATTTCAAGGTTGAAACTATCATCACTAAAATTGTTGTGAGTATCTATTTTGATATAACAAACCTTGTTGATAATTCATTTATTTTAATTAGAATTAAATGACGTTATTAAAAAATAATTAGACGGTGGTTTATTGTGAAAATGAATATTATCATGACATATAAATTAATTTATAGATATATAAAATAATTATACATATAAAAATTATCAAAGACGTTCTTGATTAACATTATTGAAATTAGATAAATCATCTGGACCACTTTGTTTTTCTTTTAAACGTTTAGTTGATCGTATATCTTGAACAACAGGCCATAGACAAAATCCCTAGAATAGAAAAATTCTTATATAATTAAATATGAATCTGTTTTATCTTTATACTTACTAATAAAGCAAGTGTACAAGCAGTAATAACTACAGAAAGAACGGTAACACCAGTAATAACAACAGGAATTGTCATAATTTTCTTCTTTTTAAAATTTTTGTTTGATAATGGTAATTATATTTCAAGGAAATAATGTTGACAATTGAAAGTTAAAATTAGTCTTACCATATGTGTATTAAGAACTTCTTTTTTGCTTCTTTAAAATTCAAATATTTAATTGTTTTGTAACG